TCTCATTTTGAGACAGGGTCTTGCTAAGTTGCTAAAATGCCCAGACTGAGCTGAAACTTGCCAGCCTCCCAGAGTTCTGGGGTTATAGGCTTGTACCACCAGGAGAAGTCATTCTTAATCTCTCTTTTTCCTACTTCTATCTCTGTCCCAGTTAAAAAAAAAATCCCAAGGACACAAACAACTTTCAAAATAACTCCTGAGATCTGTCCAGTTCTCATCTCCTTTACAATGACTTTAGTCCAGTGTTACCAAACTGACAAATAATTGGCCCTTCTTTCATTGTTGACACATTGTACTTTCTCCACCAAGCCACCATAAAGATTGCTTTAAATGTAAGTCAGGTTGTTTATTTTAAATTCCCTAAATGGCTTCTCATTGATATAAAAGTAAAATCCCACCTCCATGCCTCTGTCTAGCAAGCTTCCCCAACATTTTCCATGACTTTTATGTTATTCAGCGCTTATTCTGTATCCCTCCAAATGCTTTCAGCACCGAGTCACTCAGCATCATGTACCCTGTGCTCAGTGAGGCATTTTTTAGTCTCTTCTTCCCTGGATCAGAAGCTCCCTATGGAGTGGAAATGAAAGCAGTCTTTCAGTTAATTGCCATGGTCTGGCATCTGAGCTGTGCTTAGAAACTTCTCAGTATCTATTTGCTAAAAGAATTAATCTACCCTATTCCCACAGAGATATTTTTGTGGTATTCCCAAAACCCTCATTCCTGAGCTAGGGATGGAGTTCAGCAGTACAGCGCCTGCCTGACAAGTGTGAGGCGCTGAGTGTGATTCCCAGAGCAAACACAAAACAAAACAAAACACACCCCAAAGCCCTCATTCCCTTTTCTTTTCCTTCCTTCCTCCCTTTTAATTTTAAGGTTGCAAAACTAATTCTCTGAAATAAACTTAGCGAGTTCTCCTAAACTTGTCCCACAGTTCACTAAGATTAGACTATATGACTGCTTGAACCCAGTCACACGCGCACCAAAGTATTCTCGTAAGATGACAAGCCCTGGGTATGGATTTGACTGTACTGACTACCGAAGGGACCTATCATCACACTCCACTGCAGTGCCATGAAGCTGAAGGTAACCCAAACTCTATATGAATGACGAAGCTAACCTCATGCAATCAGATCACTCTTAGTCTACATCTTTGTGGGTATGTTCACTGTTGACACAAGAACTGAAATTTCTTGGCAATCCACTTGAAAAAGGTATCTCCACTCTTCCCATGCTCCCTTGGATTAACTTCTATTATACAGCACTCATTGGTAGTTTTATTTCTTTCCAGAGTTAGAAACTGCCTTCCATGATATCAGCTCGACCCATTTTACAGAAGTCTTTGCCACAGAGAAGAGGAACTGAGGTTATTCAACTAGTTTTTTGACTGAGTTTAACAATGCCATGCAGATTTGAATAAGCCCTGGTAAATCTATGCACAAAAGTGTATTTTTCTGTAAAGTAGAATGAATATGATTTCTGTGTACATTGAAATGAAAGTTGTCAAGAAGTAAAAAAATGACCAGGGAGGAAGTTTTATGAAACGAAAATAACTCCTAATTCAGTTATTACAAAAGTAAAATGCCACTCCACTCCTCTTAAAGGTGAAACTTATCTTGATTATATAAATCCAAAATATGGACAATTTAAATCACAAAATAGAGAGCAATGTTAAAAAACCAGGGAGACAGACTCTGTAGAGACGGGATTATGTATAATCCCGAAGCTGAAGGCAAACACTATGTATCAAACATATGCACTAATACAAATATTAACTAGAATATTATTTTCCAACCTTGAAGTTTGCAATTCCAAGTCAGCTTAACAATATCTATTGAGCAGTTACAGGTGGCAAAAACACTGTGTTAACAGAAAATTGAAAGAGTCTATAATGTTCAGTAGCTAGAACATAGATTTTTTGACTAAAGGATAAAAAGATTATTTAGTTGTCAGGAACAAAAGAGAGACATTATATATAGATTGTCTTGGTTTCAGGGAGGAAGAAAAAGGCAGAATATTCCATTAGATATGAAGACACCAATATGGCAAAGCTTGTTGACTCTAACTAAGGGTTATAATTCAGTAGAAATAATTTCTCTGGGAACTTGTCTTTTTCTCCTGAAAAGTTTAATGGAACTTTCTCATCTGGTTTTAATAGTCCTATTTATCAGGGAAATATGAGGTTTAACACTGTGTGATGTTGAGAAATCATGACAGGTTTTAACTCATAGTCTTATGCAGATGTATTTGTACCTATTCAGACATTAGCCCGTGTTCCAGAGGCTCCATAAACCACCCAGTGTCACACAAAATGGCAGTGAAACATGCAAGCCGGCTGAATGTGCTACTTTAGGACTACCTCTGAACTTCATTTTAGGAGAGAATAAAAAACCAAATGAGCTGGAAAAAGCAGCCAAGACCCAAGGAGCACTTGGAGTTACAGGTAACTCAGACTTACATGGAATAACAATGCTTTGGAAAAGAAAGGTGTGGAGAACATCAGTATAATCTCAAGGTAATTCCAAAAGAAGTCTTGGGCTTCTTTTCCTGGAGATGCTGAATATATTCTTTTTCTTAAAATGAGTTAAAACTGACCTTTTTGCCCTAGCAGGCTGAGATACTGGCTGGATTGACAGGAAGGTAATTTTTTTCTAAATAAAAAGATCGATGCACCATCGGGGTAGGTGCTCTCTATAGTCCTAGAACTCAAGGGTACATTAGAGAAAAGGGCAGATTATTTACAGAGCCTGAATGATTGAACATTCATTGGTTCCCAACAGAAGCAGTACTGCCGGCCTTGAGGGTATTTGGAAATTTGCAGGAATACTTTAGCCACAACAGTTAAAAATGCTCCCTATCCTATAATGATCAAAAATATTTCAAAGAAAATATCGTTCCATATCTCTCATTCTACAAAAATATCAAATATCACAGAGAGATAAGTAAGTACAGAATCAATATAAGTTATCTTACATAATACTGGAGGCTTTTAAAGAAATTAAAATAGTTGAAAAGAAAGTTGTCATGAAGGATATTTAAATAGCTCATTAAGTCATTAAAAATCACTCAAGAATTTACTTTTTCTGCCCATAGTGTCTATTTAAAACATCATGTATTTTCAACCATCTATATAATTTCGACGAAGGGTTTAAGTACAAGAATTTAGCTTTTGACATAGCAAATATGAGTCAAAAAGGGTTTAAGATTTGGTGCCACAAGCACTGAGTTGGGGAGAAATGACTAGCGTTTTGTTCAGCTTAGAATTAAGCATTTTGTAAAAGTGTCTCACTGGCAGCAATGCTATTCATGGCATTTATGCTTCTAATAAAACACCCATGTGTGAGTCTGCACGTATGAACTTACAGGATAACAGAGATGTCGTGAGATTCTTAGAAACCGATTGAGGAAAATGCTATACATCAGCAGACATTTGAAATGGTGATGCCAGTGAGCTGCATTAACTATTTGGAAAACAGTTGTGCTACTGCTATTCCATATATTTTAAGTTTTGAGATATGAAAATGTTGAGAGATCACTGCTATGAACATTACCTATTGACCGTTACATACTACTTCGGAGTAAATGCTCTTACATTTGTACTGCTCCAAGCAGTTGACCTCATAACTTTGTGCCAACCCTTCCACTGTCGCCTGCTGCCAATTATAGGATGTCATCTCCAAGACTTCCTTTCAAGCAGCAGGAACAAAAGTAAGCAAACCTTCATGCAGGGTAGATTTTTTAACCCCGAAAATGGGACTTCTTATTTTAATAGCACATACTCATGGAGCACAGTGTCATATTTCAATTCCTGAATAAACTGCATAATCATTAAAGCAGACTATTTAGCATTCCTATCCCTTTTTCATTTCTTTATGTTAAGCCTTACAGCATCTCTTCTCTAGTTTTTGATCAAACATAACACTTACCGTAAACCAGAGTCACCCTATTATGCTAGAGAACATGGGAACTTACCTTTACTGTCTACCTGTATCTCATACTGTTATCTCACCTCTCCTAGTCCTCCTCCCTTAGGGAGTGATGACTTCCACCCCCTAGTAATCACGATCGTACTCTAGAAGATATATGTTTCATGGTACAGTGTCAGGTACAAATTACATGTCATAAAGACTCACTCTGACACTGCACTGCACAATCATTTTCGTCTTACTTTTAAGAGTCTCATGTTTTCTTTATTTCTCCCTCACACACAGGCTATTAGCTGCCCTGGAATGCTTTCCCTACACCAGTTAAGGTCATTTCCCTCACCATGTCATCATATTTGCAAATACTTCTCGTTTCTTATTATTTACCCTAACTCTAGTCCTATTTTAGGAGATACTTGTATCTATACTTGCTCATTTATTAATTATTTAATCTTGCTCATTCCTTCACTTATTTTGATACTGCTGAGGGTTACTGATCTAGTAATTCCTCATAAACCCAGACTTACTCATTTGAGCCATGTCGTAGGCATCAGGTAACAAATACATAGGGAATCTGTGTTATTTTTTAATAAATTATTTTTTCTTTCATCTTGATTTCATGTCATAGTTATGAGATTATTTCCAATATTAAAAGTAGAATACGGGTTATTTTATCTATGAATCTCTATTTAAGATAACAAAGAGGGTATTACACAGTGTTGTTTGCAACGGAAATGTTGTCAAGTAGGGTTAAAACACTGTGCTAGACATTCTCAGAGGTCCTTCCATCTCTAAAATTCTTAAATTACTTGGCCCCTCTGATTTAACTAAGGAAATTGAACACCTGCAGCTCCCAACACAGTAGATATTACTCACCAAAACATATGGCAAGTCAAATGTAGTCTTTTGGTAGTTTTTTTTTTTTTTGTATAAATGTCTGTTTTCTATCTATAAAGGTGGATTAGCTGCTTTACTGCTACTCTTTCATTAGGCTGAGGAGCCCCTGCTCAATCAAGTGGTGCAAACACTGGTTCTCCCAGCACAACTGTCTGCACGCCCACATCTGTACCCTCTTCTTACCTAACTTGACAAGGCGGAGAGAGGAGGTGTTGCTTCCTCTTTCAGTGCAAGCTGTGACTGAGAGATTGTAGATGTCCCCAGGCGGTAGGTTGAGAATTGCAGTCATGACATTGCGAGTCACCTACAAGACCATCAAAATTGAGGACTTGAAGTTCTAATGAAAGCACAGGCACACCACTCCACCTAACTACAGAGCTACCACTGTTGTTCTGTTTCTGTGCCATGCTGCAATCCATCGATTACATCCTGAATGATTTGGAGTGTCTGAAAATCACACAAATTCCTCAAACTGGGCCAAATGCAAGGTGACTTAAAAATTCATAACATATATCAAATAGAACAATTTTATAATTCAATCCCTTATTTGGAATAGATGTTACTATGACATTTTCCTATGTAGAATAGATCTTAGAAATACAAAGACAATTGCTGGATTATTAACACTACATACATTCTGTGACACTCGGAAGAAACCTAGCTTTGTTGATAGATACTTGATTTTCCACAGAAAGACTGTATTTCTCATCTTCCCCTACAGCTAGAGGGGACCACTTGACCCAACTCTGACCAATGGATTGTAAGTGGAAGTCACATGGGTAAGTTTAGTTCAGTTTCCATCTCGGAAGGACTGGGCCCCCCTGTAAGCCTTTTTCTCATCCTGCAGGCTGTAGTACCGATGTGATGATGTTAATGCTTCCCCGTGCAGATGAGAACTCCACATAGAAGCAGAAGCAGCAAGGCAGTAAAGAAGATCTGGATAATCTGTACAGCAGATGTGTCTGTTAGCCCTGAGCTATATCAGGAAAGGGACATAAACTTCTATTTTGTTTGATTCATTCTTTTTTTGGTTTGCTTTTATTATAGTTGGTTAGCCTGTGTCCTAATGTTATTAGGATGCCCTAATAAGCCAGGCATGGTGGCACGTGCCTGTTATCCTAGCTACTCAGGAGGTTGAGAGAGGAGGATCAAAAGTTGAAGGTTAGCCTGGGCAACGTAGTGAGACCTTGTCACAAAATAAAAAAATGAATGGATGTAGCTCAGTGGTCAAGGGACCCTGGGTTCAATCAATCTCCAGTATCAGAAGAAAAAAATGTAATGAACCAGGAAAAAAGAGTAATATTCTGGTCATATACGGAGAAAACACTGAAATATGTTAATTGTAGTTTTCTTGACAGTGTTTGGCTTCCTGAAGGAAAATCCCAAATTATAACTTTAAATATAACTGAAATCAAAGTCCCACCTATTAGAGTTTGCTGTTTGAAATTCAAAAGTAAGCTCTATGAAAAGACAAGCTTAATTTGTGTGTGTGTGGGGGGGGGTCAATTTATCTCCACAGCCCAAACTAGGGCCAACTGGCATGCCAACATTTGTTTAAATGTCTCTACCAATGTTTTCTCAGTGGTTTGCAACAGTTTGCCCAACTCCATTGTTCAGATGCCCAATACTGGGATTCAAAGAAACATACGCTCTTTTTAATTTTCTTCTTTCCTTCTGCGACAACCATCCAGTGCAACATTCTCGAGTGGGACAGGTCAGTTGTGTCATCCCCATATGTCCAGCTGATGTATAGAAGACTGTTGAAATATTCCACGGAAGTGATTTCTGGAGCCACAGGGGCTACAAGGGAGAAAAGAGGCACAGCTTAAAATAAGAGATTATTAGTTGAAGTTCTTAATAGGAAGACTTGGAATTCACATAGAATTAATTCAGGGAGTGGAAGCTCATACTACAGGATAGCCCTGGATTGCCTGGACCCCTCAGGAACAAAATGGAGATTGGGGGACACAGGATGGGCACTTAGTTCACTTGACCTCACTTGGTGCATCTCAGACACAAGAAAGCCAGACCCATCTGTGTCTCAGGATATCAAAGGCTTCTATATGAGGCACAGTTACAAGATTCCTAAAATGTTTGCTTGAGTTATTCAAGAAGTTTTCAAAATATATTGTGTATGTTTAAATTAGAAAGTTTATTATATATACCCTGGTTGCTCTTTAGATCATATAAATCTTTCCCCTTTTATTAAAAAGTTCATTATAGTAAAATACACACTGATACTAATAACCTTCAAAATTCTCCTCCTTGCTTCAGGCACACGTAACCCATAGTTCTCGCCATGTTCTGAAGCTGTTTTGGGAGTCTTCTTTAGTGAAAATAGTTATCAGGTTTGATAAAAAGATATGATGAATACTGCTCATAAAAATTGAAAGGCAGGTTCATAAAAGCATTATGGTGAGTCGTCTTCTACCTAGTCTCTGGATCTGGCACCTTGTGACTTCTGGTTCTTCCCCAGGGTCAAAATGACCATGTAAGGGAAACATTTTGAATGGATTCAGGACATCGAGGCAGCCATGATGGAATAATTGAAATCACTCACAAAAGGGGACTTTCGGAATTGCTTCAGAAAGTGGAAAGAACCATGGGCTAAGGGTGTTTGAAGTGAGGGGCATGTTCTGAGGGGAATTAATGGCAGTGTTTATTGTAATGCATTCAAAAATTTTAACATTCACTACTTTTTATCACATCTCATATTTGGTACATAACAATTACAATGAGTAGATATTGCTGAGGTTTATTATCCATGCAATACTAGAAAACTTGGGGTTCTGTAATTATTAAATTTCATTAGGAAATAGGGTAAATAATAGAATATAATAGCACTGTAAGTAGAAGACAAATGTTATTTCCATAAGATAACAAGACTGAGGGGAATAGGGGGAAAAAATAACCAAGATGGATTTGTGCAAATTTTCAATGATGCATGTCATTATGTTATATCACTTAAATGTACCACTTAATTAATTTTTAAAAAAGATAAGACTGTATCATTGGCAGTGTTTCACCTCATGCTTTGCAGAAAGTAGGTTCTTACTAAATGTTGCTTTAATAAAAAGGAAAGAAGGAATTTTTTTAAATCATGCCACAAAGCTCAGTTCTCACATTGAACACATTGTTTTTTATTTAACACATTTTAATGTAAAAAGAAACTTGCTGAGAAGGAAAGTTCATCACAAGATTTATATAATACATGAGTTCTGAGAGCATGTTTTAATTATTTTTAAAACTAATCAAAATTCTAGCTTTCTGCTCTTAAAATTTGAAAAACAGGTTCATAAAAACATTATAGTGAGTCCTTATCTACCCTGTTTCCTCAGTGGTTCCGTCCTCTGCCTCACAAGTGCAAGGACCCGCATTCAATCCTCAGTACCAAAAAAAAAAAAAAAATGTAATTGATAATTCTAGAGATTTGAAGAAATAAATACATGATTATATCTAAAGCTGAGTCTGAGATGTAGCACAAAACTAACTGAAATATTTGAAAGAAAATTTGGGTAAATCAAAAGGAATTATGTTTTCTGATGTGCTGCTAATGTTGGTGGCAAACATCTGTAACATTATGTTTCACTGAAGAATTCATAATACCTGTATGAAGAGTAAAAAACACATTCCTGGTTGGCTTGAAATAGGAGTAGCACTTCTAGCATTGTTCTACAATAAAGTCTTGAAATATCAGCAGTGCTCACAGCACGTTCTGGAATACTCTAATAAAAAAGTAGCTATGGTTTCTTTATAATTACTTAACGTATTCCAAATGTACTTTCTCATATCACTTATACATGCATTTCTCCAAAGGCTATTTTCTCATGTCTAATTTTAGCAAGGACAAGAAACATTTGAAAAACTGAGAAGTCCTTCGCTCCCTCCCAGAAGCACTGCATCTCCAGATCTTTGTACTCCACATTGCCCCTTGAAAATTTCAAGTATTGCTAAAAGACCACAAGATGTCACTATTTGTTAATCATTGTTTGGTATATAGCATAATTGCTATGAACTTGGTTTGCAAAGTCACCTAAGAAGGACCACAGACTTGAGATCCAGATAAGGCACAATTTCATGTTTCTATTTCCTTTTATACTACACAATTGGGCAATTTACATTAAAATTCAAAGCACAGGAAAGGAAAGCATGAGATGCTCATTTGTTTTAAATAGGATCCTTATTTGGAACGACGTGAGAAAGATCCTAAAAAAGCTAGAATTTCAAGTGGTTTTAAAACAAGTATAAATTACATATACTTTAATAGCTATTTTATTATATAATTTAGTTCTGACACGGCACTGTGAGGCACTGTTACCCCCATTCCACAGAAGTGGGAATGGACACAATCTGTATCAATAGCCTTAGATCAAACCATAGACAACCAATGTCAGCACAACTGAGCTGTTTGTCCCAGGAAATGACAAGAAATTCCCAAAGATGAACTGGACACAGTAGATTGCTCACCAAGGCAAACAGCTCCTTTATTAACCATGGTTGATCGGGATTTGCTGTGCTTCCCTAAACACACTTAATCCCACTTCGATCAGCTCCACCTTGCAACACAGGGCCTGAACCACTTGAGCCAGGGCACTGACCCCTTTTAATGTCTTATCTCCGATGGCCCCATTCTGAGGCTGTGCAAAGACTGGGACTGGTGGTGGCCAGTAGACAAAGTTCTACTCTGTTCACCAACTGGCAGGAGGTATTTTGGAGAGTTCTGTGGATGAGGGAAACTCAAGATCAGAAAGATCATTTGCTCAAAATTCCACAGATAGCCATGAGCAGATCCAGGCTCAGATGCTATGTTTTTTTTTTTTTGGAGAGCTGTCCTGATTGAGAAGGAAAGCACAATCTCTAAGTTAATCTCAATAAAATGAAACTGTAAGAATTACTGATATAGTCAAATTTAGTTATAATTAAATATGTGACTATTAATATAGCCAAGAGCTTAATGTAGTGCTTGTCAAATGATTACTATTTTCTCTTCTGCTGCTATTCTTTTACTTGTCTACTGTATTTTTTTTTTTTTGGTACCAGGGATGGAACTCAGGACTGTGCACTTGCAAGGCAGGTGGCAGAACCACTGAGCTAAATAAATCCCCAGCCCTTCTATTCTAATATTACTAGTTAACTTTTGGAGCAAAAGTGCTCAGGATGCTAGTAAAGAAAAGTGAGATTTTATGTATGTTGATTGTGTAAGAATTCACATCAGATTGATTTTATCTGTTTCATTGATAAATTTCTACAAAGTTAAGCTAGATGACCAGTGAGGAAAGGATTTTGCCCAAAGAATTCATCATCTGAGCAATATTTTTCTCTTTTGCTTTCATTGCCCAACAAAAAGTTCTTGAAAACCTTAGTTCAAACAACTAGGGTGAGCATTTCTTTGATCCATTTCCTCTTTTCATCGCTTTTTCTGATAGTTGAAAATGTAATTACATAATTTGAGGCTGAGGATCTAAGACTCATAGTTATTTAAGTACCTAAACTCTATGCTATGTATTTTGCTAAGTAGTTTATTCAAAAGAGAAATAAAAATAGATGAAATAGTAGATCATTGACACCATTTTCTTCCCTATTTTACACATGAAGAAAACTGAGCCTTAGAAAAGATACGATTTGGCTGGGAATTTAGCTCAGTGGTCCTGGCACCTGCCTCGCAAGTACAAGGACCCAAGTTTGATCCCTGGTACCAAAAAGAGAAAACAAAAAGAGAAGATAGGATCTGGGGCAGGGTTGTGACTCAGATCCAAGTCTTTTTGTCTCCAAAGCCTTTTCAAAAATCTTCTGCAGTAGGCTTTACTACAGTCTGCCTGTGACTTTAAAAATTATTAATTAGCAGGGCATTGTGATGCATGATTGTCATTCTGGCGTTTGGGAGGCTGAGGCAGGAGGATTAGAAGTTTGAGTTCTGCCTGGGCAATTTAGTGATTTTTGAGACCCTGTCTCAAAATAATAAAATAAAATAAATAACTGCTCAAAGAACAGGGGATGTGGCCCTGGGTTCAATCCCCAGTATCACAAGGGAAAAAGCCTGAATTAATCAGGAATGGAGGCTCTGTAGCACACATAGTTATCACACGGGTGAAGTCAGTTGCAAGCCCTATGGAGCCAAGGGCTCTGCCTGCTACATTCGCTATTCCAGCCAGTCCCAATGGGGGGCGCTCAAGGACAGTGACTCAGGATAAAGCTAGGGGCCAGTAACTCAAAATAATAATGATTTAATTTTTAAATAATAATTTTTAAAGAATAATGATTTAATTTTTAAAGATTATCAACTAAACGTATAATGAATGATCTTATCTTTCATGAAACCAATGCTCGATCAGGGGTAGGTGAATGGCTCTTTCTGGAGATACAAACCCCTTGGTATCTGCTCAAAAGAACGTTCTCTCTGTCAACCATTCCAACACGCCACTCACCTGTTATGAAACTTACGGTGGAGCTGTCGCAGCAGCTCAACTCCGGATCTCCCCACGTCACCATGGTTACTCGAAAGTTGTAGTACCAGGCTGGCAAGAGATTAGCTATTCTCTGCATGAGAGGAAGAAAAACAAGAAAAAGAAAAAAAAAAAAAAATAAAAAAAAGAAAGAAAGAAAAGCAAGGATACAAAAGACTAAGGGGAAAATAATATTTTTTCAGTACATTTGTTTTCATGAGGTTATCAATAGATCAAAAAACATTTTTTTGTCCTTTTATGTTTCTTGTATTTCAATTTTTTTCTGAAAGGAAGTGAGCCATAAAATGAAAAAGAAAAGATAGAATGTTCAAAGATGATTCAAAGATACACAAAAAAATATTTCTAATTTTGGCCTCGCTTTGTAAGTCCTTAAATTATATCACGCAATGAAATGGGAGTCATTTGTATGGGACCATATGTGAAATACATCACCTTATTTCCAAGACAAGGGGCCCTCACAACTTTGTATTGTTCCAGTGTGGACCATGAGCAGGAGAGATGTTGGGTAGTAATTACCAGGCTCACCAACTAGGTAGAGAAATATTGTGTACTTCATACACAGCCCGTGGGTAGCCTCCACTTAAAAAATTATTCCAGGTTCAGAAAGAACAATCAGTATCTGTGCTCTTGAAAACCATACTGCCATGACCTTAAAAGACAGCTATTTAACTGATCTCTAGATATCCAGAAGAACCACAAGACACAGTGTCATTTCACTGCTGAAGGCTGAAGGGAAATCCTTTGTGTTTTCTTCCTCTGAGGCCGAGAGGAACAGTAAGTACTCGATAAGTCTACTATGCATTGAGGAAATTCACTAGGAAAAAAAAATGGGTTAATGAACAGAACGTTCACTTCAGGGTGAAAGCGAGTTTCAACACTATCTCTTTTGAAAGACAAAATCAGAACCCCAAACACCCAAAAACTACTACAGCAAAAGCAACTAAAAAATCTTGAAAGTAGAAAGCTACATATGTATATTTACAAAATGATTTGATTTATAGATAGCCTACTCTGACTCATTTGGTAACAGAGACATTTCGTCAGTTTCCACAGGCAAGGGAGGAAGCAGGTGAGGCAGGATTACCACGGATGCCGTTAAGGAGACAGTTGCTGCTATTTCATAGTAGGTTGTCCACTCTGAAGTCATTGTCACAGGGTTGAAATAAAACATTTCAACCACGTATTTTCTAAATACTCCTAAGTAAGGTCTGGTCCAGCTCAGGACTACTGCTGTCGGACCCAAGGGATAGAGCATTAAATCCTTTATTCCAGTGGGAACTAAAAAGAAAAGGGGTGGGAATTGAGGAAAACAAATCGAGGAACAATGGTTAATATCTTAGCAGTGACTAATGACTTTAAACTTCTATTTCATTATCCATTTTCATTCTTCTGATACAACTATTGGAAACCAAGGTAAAAATATTTACTTCTAACTGTATCCCAAGTAGTAAATGCTAAGAATGCTTCCTAAATTTGTAATTCCAGTTATTAGAATCAGCCTTTTACATTAGCAGGCTTCACAGTTATGAACTCAATGAATCATGGATAGAAAATGTCCCTCTACCTATGTGTTGAACATGTGAATACTGTTTTCTTGTCATTGTTCTTTAAATAATATAATATAACAACTATTTACATAGCACTTAAGTTGTATTAGGTTTTACAAATGATTTATCCAGGGATGGCTGAAGGCATTAGGATCATGTATGTAGATTATATGTACATACCATGACATTTTATATGAAGGGACTAGATCATCCATGGATTTTGATATCCATGTGGGGGGGCACAAGTGTGTACATGTGTGTGTTTATGGGGTGGTTCCAGGAAGTAATCCCTCAGTGGATAATAAGAAACTACTGTACTCTGAAGGTAAACTACTGGTTGACCTCGTGCAGCCCTTCGACTTAAGATGATAATAAGTTGAGCTTTATATAATATCTCTCTTGGTACTAGCAACTTACCAATGGCAAATGTCACAGGATCTGAAGGTGGTCCAATCAAAGGTCCTTTTCTTAGGTACACCAAAACCTGGTACTGGGCACCAGGAACGAGATTTTCAATAATAGGTTTGCTCGAATTCACCTTTAAATCAAAAACCCAGTTTTATTTGGAGCAGGGCTTTCAGAGTGTGAGACAGGGGGACGTAGTATTCAAAGATTTTTTTTTTGTGGAACCACAGTTGACTTTGAAATCCAGAAGACTTTACTCGTGCTAGGGAATGTCAGACTTTAAAATTAAGAATGATTTATAGTTTATGTAGATCCTGAAGGGAACCCAGAGCATTCAGTTCTGGGGCTTGATTTAATAAGCCCTACGAACTGCTCTGTATGCATCAATGTCAATGGTAACTCCACACACTAGAGACACATAAGCTTCTAACTATAATCAAATCAGCAATACCATCAAGATACTCCGACACTCTCAACTGTAGGGTCAGCTGATTACATACAAAGACTGGTGCAGAAATGTCTTTAGTCTCTCGTCACTTAGAAGCATATCATATCTAATTATAGAGGTGGAAATGACCTCAGGGATTATTTAGTTCAAATCTGTCATTTAATGTATTGAGAAAGCAAGCCCAGAGAACAGACAAGGTCATGTATTTAATTCACTGTTGAGACTAGAATCCTGGTATTGTGACCCCCTACTCTGCACTAGGGGCAAGTCACTGAGCAAAGCATCAGGCTACTCGGTACCTGAAAATGCTTTACAAGTCTGTAGTCCCTTTACAATTCATGTGAGGGAGAACATTTCTCATTTAAATGAGCTCTCCTTTACTGTCCTTTTTAAAAAACACTATAGGTTAGGTACAGATACCATATAGAGTGAAACAGCAAGAATATAGAGATGGATAAAAATGATGTATTAAACTCGAATGTTGGTGTGCACAAGTATTAATGCTTTAGATAAAGGTTAAGGAGTGAGCTGCCTGTTGGGTCTTCTAATATTTAAGAGAATCTTGCTGAGTGGAAAGAACACATATTCTTTATTTGAACTGCCTGAAATCAAATTCTGATTATAGTCTGTATAAGACTGGGGATATATTAATAATTTATTTAACATTTTTATCTTGGTTTACTCATTGCTAAAATAGAAGCAACAGCACTTCATAGAGTTTTGAGAATATTGAAACCTGAGTATCAAGAAATATTAAATCCTTTGATGAAAGTTTGGCCTCTGGAATACATAAATTTGCAGAATTGTCACAGGAAGGAACACAAATCAATGGAGAACAATACTACTGACATTAACTTATGCTATAAGTTTTTTTAAAAGTGTTATTAAGGTTTTAAGGGTAAACAGTACTAGTGAAATTTAAACTTATTATACAAAATAGAAATTGCATAATTTGACAGGTACAACTTGCTCTACACAAAAGTAGGTGCCGCATACCAACATGTTTTTTTCTGTTGGCTTGAAGAAAGTAAAAATTAATTAATTTGAATTAACAAATTAGAATTTCCCTTCCTCCTTTTCTCTTTACACGTTCACATCAGTTTCTTGTCCAACTTTTACACTTTTAATTCTACTAGGATCCTTACACACAGACTGACAACAAGATATACTCCTCTGACCCAAGCTGAATGGAGAGCTGAGTGGATGTGCTTGTATGCACAACTAGGCAGGGCTTCCTTCTATCCTTTTAGAATATTTTCTACACCAGGGATGGTGACGTGCTTGGGAGGCTGAGACAGGAGGATGGCAAGCTGAAGGCCAGCCTAGGCACTTAGCAAGGCTCTGTCTCAAAATAATAATGATAATGATAAAGATCTGGGGCTGTAGCTTAGCACTCTATGTGTTAAATCTCCAGTTCACCACCACTACCATCCAAAACAAGTGACTAAAATAAAATATATTCTAAGCAACAGAACTAACAAGTGGTCATTTGAAAATTGTTCACAAAAAATAAGAGCGAGTGAAGTAGACTAGAAGTCTGCTGTTCTCTTTCCACAGGTTGTAGCATTTGTGGGAACTCTCGCTCTTCCTTTAATAGATGTACATAAATAATGCAACGTTCAACCATATGTATTTTAGATTATCAGTACCGTTCCTGATTTAAATTTAACACATTGCAGACATCCTACCATACCAGTGAATGCTAACGTAACTCACTTACCACTTATTTTGCCTATTTAGAATATTCAGAATGTTTAGAATAAGCCAGGGCACACAGAGTATAGATTGTTTTAGAATAATGTTAAAGTTTCTTTAGTTTGATAATATTTTACTCAGTAATTGACTTCTGCTATTCACACGAATACTTGGAATCATAGCCACTTAAATACTGTACCCTAAATTTAAAAATACATATTAGAGAAATGGTAATTCTATTACAAGAAGCAGCTAGATTTATTATATAAAGAGAGCAATGGTATCGCAAAATATGTGCATTGAAAACAAATTATAAACACTGATTTCCCTTCAGTGTCTGAATATTTTCTGAGCTGCCAACCTATACTACATTTACACTATCATCCCTCAGTGCCTGTCTGTCTGTCTGTCTCTGACCAATAACTGTATATTGATGTGGTACTATGTGATGATTTGATCTATGTATGCATTATAGAAAAATTATAGCAAGCTAATTAACGCATCTGCTATCTCATCATTTTATCATTTTACTTTTGTGATGAGAACATTAAAAATCTAATTTAGAAGTTTTGAAAATATAGTACATGATTTTTATCCAGGGTCATGACGCAGTCCAACAGCTCATTAGAACTCATTTCTCTAGTTAAACCATACCCTTTGATTGACCTTTTCCCTCTTCTTTCTCTCCTCTTCCTATACTTCCAGCCTCTGGTAAACACCTTTCCCTAATTCTATGAGACAGACTTTTGTAGGCTGCATATATATGTAGATAAGACTGTATTTGTCATCATGAGACATTAGTATAATGTCCCCCTGGTCCAATTATATTGTTGCAAATGACAACACTTCCTTCTTTAAAAAAATTGTATCATATTTCATTACATATATGCATTTGGGCATTGAGGAGCGCTTAGGTTGCTTCCGTATTTTGACCTAGGAAATGAACATTGGGGAGGTAATGTTTCTTCTACATCCACATCATGCGATCTATTTTTGAGCTCAGTGCAGATTTGTTGAAAGTGAGAGGAAAACATGCTCCAGCATTCTGTTTATTAAGTAATACATGCTTTGTTCTCTACAAAACTACTCCACACGTCTCTCAATTTCTGCTCATCTTAGCATTCTAATATTTTTCCTGATTAGTTTCATCTTCAATCCCAAGAACTCAATTTAATTCAGTGTCACTCCAAAAGAGCACCGGTTCTACCCTGCCTCAGCTGGAGAAGTAAGAGCAAAGATGTACTAGAGAGAAGAACCGAAGGAAATAAAAGGTAGACTGTGAAATTGTTGGGTTGAACGAGCTGATAGTGAAGGTCCTGTTAAGTCTGCAGTGCTCCCATGCCCACTTTCTATCACTCTTTCTCCACCAGCTCTTGCCACGCTTTTACTCCAGTTACTCAGCTTTTCTGTGGAGGACCTCTGGAGATGCTCTGCCTCCCTCCCTTACATCAAAAAGCAGCCACCTTAGTCTAGATAATAATAAAAGATAACATGTTTTAAAATGCACTTATTATCACTATGTTCCAGGAACTGTGTTAAACTTCAAGTCATTTCATCTTTATTACAGAGTTCTAAAGGTAGCTTTGGCTTCTCCTGTAGCACAGATGAAAACCCTACGACTTACACAGGTGAGAGTTGCCCAGGTTCTCACAGCTGGTAGCTATTGAAGTCACGCCTGAAATCCACATTTGTCTGCTGTCTGTGGCTGGATGATGCCATCTGGACTCTGTCAGGGTGGTAGCCAGGCAGCACACGTAATCCATGGAAACAGACTTGCTTGGCCCTGGTCACAGCTCTGATACTAACTAGTTGTGTGACTTTGGGAAGATCCCTTAAATATTTTGGTCTCTTAGTTATACCATGTCTTCATTTGAAAGCTAAAGGACTGACTTGTCTTTGTCTGATTTTGCCAATTAGTTACGACACATTGCTAATGTATAGTGTGTTGTCAGAAAACATTTTAAGGAACCAAGTCAGATCACAAATAAGAGAAGATACACATGCATATGTTACATATCTCTTCCTAAGTCTGAAATTTATGATTGTGTATCTCCGGAGAGAATGCTGTAGAAGAATTATCTGAATTTTTAAAAATATAACACTGATTTGACTCTGTTATGTTCAGCTTATGTCTATAAATAAGTAGCACTATCATGGTTATTTGGAGGGATGTATTACAAAAGTCTTTCCCAAGAACATTTGTACAAATTCATAAAGCTTATGACAATAAAAGACACACAAGAACTATGAAATAAGTGTGTTTGAAGGGAAGGAGGTAAAATTTGAGCATCTTGAGGGAGATTAGTACAATGTGTCCTTCACTATAATATATGTTTAAGAAATATTCTCCACGTGTTTGGGTTGCCCTATGGTAATCAACTGCTCGCTTCAGTTTCTGTCACATAAAAACATCAGGTGTGTGCTTCTATACCTTGCTCGGAGGAACTGGCACTGTGTGACTTCTGACTCTTCCCCAAAAGTCAAAATGACCGTGAAAGGTAAAGCTTTTGACTTGATTCAGGATCTTGAGGCAGCCTTGATGATGTGGCAAGAGTAACAGGATAAGCATGTTCAGAGCAACGGGAGGAGTACTTTGCTGAAAATTAGTAGCAAAGTGTCTTTTACTGTAATAAATTTTAAAAAATGTAAATACAGTATTTTATGAACATACCTTGCAAGTATTTATGAAATATATGATGTCATGATATATACGATATGTATGATGAGGATATAGTTAAATTAATGTGCATAGTATACCTACAAGGAGGACTAAAACCTCAGTTTCATAAAATTAGCGTTCGGGTCTACTTTATTCTCTCTCCATCACCTCACATAAGGCCTACTTTACACACAGTCACACCAGATTCAGTGAAACTGAAGGGCAGAGGAAGACATTAGCAGGTGAATCTCAGTTTATCAAGGTAATGTAGAGCATGATGTCATGACAAGTCAGTGAGAGAGGCAGGTAGAGCGAGTGAGACTAGAGAAGGCTGAAACCATTATGATCGGTGATGTCATGAGCATCCCTAACCTAAAATCCCCAGATCTGAAATGCTTAGAGTCTGAAACTTTAGAGCACCAATGTGATGCCTTCAGTAGAAAATTTCACACCAAGAAACTTTGTTCCTGGTATTCTATGACTACTAAATGTATCGCATGAGATGACTTTCAGATATAAAATGTATAAGAAGCACAAATAAATTTTGTTTATAGACCTACATTCTATCCCCCTGTCTCTGTCTCTCCTCTGTGTCTGTCTCTTCATCATATTCAAATATTATAAAATAAAAAAATTTAATTTTCAATAAGGAATGCTCAGTCCATATTAACAGGTGTTTGGCTTCACAATCACTTTTATTTCAGAGCTACATTTTGAGTTTTCTGTCTCATATAAATGCAGTACCCTGAATATAGAACTAAAGAAGCATTATTATTTTCCTGTTAGCTAATGATTGCTTTAGGGCTTATTCCCCTAGCTCTAGTTTGACTTGTCCTGGCAAGATCATCTTATACATTTCTTTGTTTAATGCCCACATGACTCTAGCCTAGTTCTTTTTTATCTGGCAATTTTACCATTTTTGGAAGCTAATTTTATTGGTACATTTTAGATATACATAATGCTAACACTCATCATATGGAATTTGTACCTGTACCTCATTCTTCTTTTTTTCCCCTTTCCTTCCTCTCCCTTCAAACCATTTCTTTCATATTTGGAGTGTGTGTGTGTGTGTGTGTGTGTGTGTGTGTGTGTGTGTGTGTCGTGGTGCTACGGGTGAGAGTAGTATAATAACACAGTGCAATAATAACATTTTCAAAAAAGTCTTTTGGCCATTGCAGTGACACTCATGGTGACCCACAGCTCACTTTAAATATTGGCCCCTTTGCCCATCCATACTCCTTACCAATTTCATGTTTGCATTTTGAAAGGGCAGCGATAAAGCGAACACAGACTAGCCTTTCCCTGGCTCACTTACATTTTTTAAGATCTAGCCGGACCTGCAGCTCTTGGCTTCTCTGCAAAACATACACACTTTGTATATGACATGGGGCAGGAAAGCAGTGAACCTTGGCCACTTCAGCGCTAGTTCGCTGTCTGTGTGGCAAACATTTTTCTGCCAGTGTAGCAAGCCAGTTATCCTGGGCACGTCAGGGCAGGAAGATAATGAGCTGAACAGTGAGCTGTGATTATTAGCTAATTGATTTGGAGTATTTACTGCTTAATTTCATTCAAGTCAAGGGGTGGCTTCATCCTCAAGCAGGGGTTTATCTTAGCACTCTCCAGTTTCCAATGCTCTGAAGGCCGTGATTCCTTCACGAATCTTACCAACTTAAAATCACTCACTAAAAAGCGTCATCAATGCCTAATTTCCTTGGGAGGAACAGAGATATCCAAACATTCTGCGCATGAACAGATAATTCAGTTGTTTTTTTTTCTCCTTTAGGGAAGACAACAATGTGTTTGTAAGATACCACCTAACATTACTTTATGCAAAAATAAAACCAAATTTTAGGAAATTAGGTCTGGGCTTCACATCTGAGATTAAGGTCTACTCTGGGCTCACTTTGTGCACTGTGGTTTGGAGATGGAGATGGGGTGTGTGCATTCATCCAGCCCTCTCACGGCACTGCTGATTTACACACAGTCTTCCTTCGCCTGCCTCCTACTCTCCCTCGTGATTGGCTCACTCCCATTGTCCATCAAAACTTTTATCATTTGTGATGGGGGGTTACTGTATATGGTTTTAACTTTCAAATTATTCTTTTCAGCAAGCATGCATTGTTTTTATAGGTTTTTTTTTTTTTTTTTTTTTTTTTTTTTT